TCTTTACTTTATAATCTGGAATATTTGCCCTATTCTAATGTTTAACCATACCTGATCTATCTATACTAAGTAGGGTACTTACTCACAGGTTCCAAAGAACTTCAGGAACTATTATTTTATCTTACCACATTAATAAAATACTAGCAAACAATTGACAGATGCCAAATAACTGAGACCATATCAGTCAATATGATAGATCTGGTCTGGTACTTCTTGTAGACATTTTTAGGGAGACATCAAAAAGCAATCATGTAATGAAAATCAGTGAGGGAGGGGGATAAAAGAGAGGCTGAGACTTACTCATTCCTTACCTGTGTGTCTCTTAGGACTCCACCCCTTCCCATGCCTCCAGGGTTCTATGCTATCACTCTATCCCTAAGCCACACTCCAGTCCTGCTATCCCCTTAATCAATGTAAGAAGGAAGTGCTGGGCACGCTGGACTAGGAACAAGTGTTGGCAGGCTTCAGTTAGCTCCTGTCAGTTTCAGAATTACTTAAGCCACTGTTTCCTACTCTCATGTATGGAAAGCTGCTGGCTAATGTATTTGCCAGGCTGCTAGAGGTATTCATGTCAATCTTCCATATGAGACACACAATACTCTTATAGCTACTTGCTAGCCAGAGTTGATTTCATTTTGGGTTGTGCATGTAAGTGGGCCCTGTCCAGTCTAGCTAAAGTAGAGCAAAGTGGAACAATCAGACAAAGCATATGAAAAAACACACAAAAGTACAAAGGATCCTCATCATGCAATCTAAGTGTGATTATCTAGCTCTCTAATTCCCTCCTCCTCATCTCTTCCCATTAGCCATCGAGAATTCTTAGTTTCCGACCACGACATCCAGGTCTCTCGTTACCTGACACCTGCCTCCCTGCTGCATAGACTTTCAAAGCTAATGCTCTAATCATACATTAGTGGTTTACTGTAGCCTAAAAGGCCATGCTCTCTCATGTGTGAATGTCTTCGTACATTCTCTTTTTTTTTTCCCTCTTGGAATTGTACTGTGCCTATCACTAAATCTTCTGTTCTAAACTCCTTAATATATTACTGTGTATTATTCCACACCTAAATCCGATGTTAGTACTTTCCATAACCATTCCTTGGCATACAGCCATTTAGCATGCCTTTAAAATCTCTATTGGCCTAAATGTACCCTGCTGCAAGTACACACAGCTGGATAACTTACATGCTTCGAGGCCCATTCTCTTACTTCACTCTAAGCTTCTTGAAGGAAGGGGCTTGCTTGTCATTTATATTATCAATGCTTTTTAGAGACCTAATGTGTCTGGAAGTCTGTCCTTTATCAGTTCCTTTTTAAGTTGATGTAACCAAATACCTTGACACAAAGCTATTTAATGGAGGAAGGCTTTATTTTACCTTATGGTTCCAGGAGGCAGTTGGTCCGTCACGGGGAAGAAAGCAGGGCTGCAGGGCTGTGAGGCAACTGAAGATATTTTATCTTCAACCAGAAAGCAGAGCTAGCACTGGCGGGCTAGGGGCTAAGGCATGTGAGAGAGGAGAAAGGAGAAGGAGAGAGAGGGAAAGGGAAAGGGGGAGGGGAAAGAGAGGGAGAGGGACTAGTGTTCAGCTTTCTTTATTCTGAAAACCCAGCCCATGATACATAAATTTAAAGGGAATCTTCCTATACCAGTTAACCTAATCTAGAAACTCCCTCAGAAACATTCATAAAGATTTGTCTCCAAAATAATTCTAAATCTTGTCAAGTTGATTATGTACAGTATTTCCATTCACAGGCAATCATTTTGTAGAGAGTGACACAGTGTTACCAAAGTTGCACAACTCACGTGTTCTGGATACACAATGAACTCAGCACTGACTTGTTCAATCAATAATGAATATATGACTGGAACTGTCACTGGTCTGCTTCATGTGCAATAAAGGAAATCACTCATCTGTTTGAAGATGCTGGTGGGGTAGAGTCATCAATGTCTGATGTCCAAACAGCAAACACCTTGTCGTTGTAACACTGAGCACCTTGCCTGTGTCTTTCTGCACCAGTTCCCAGGAAGACACTCTTTGCAGAGGTGAGCCTGTCTCTGATGACACCATTACTTCAGAGAAATAGGTACATAAAACAGTCATGCTGGCTTCTGCTTCATTAGGAACTCAAGGGGAAGGTAGGGAGAAAAAAAAAAGTCTTAATGCTGTTTGCCACTCAAAGATAACATCAGGAGAAGATGGAATTTTAATCTTTTGAGTTAGTGAAAGGTTATTAAGATAGTGGAAGGTAAACATGAGGTTGGATGTCATGGAGATATACTGTCTCTTCTGACTTGGAGTGATGGCCAAGGAACATTTCACTAAAGTCCTTTTGAACTGGGATATGCCATTGGCAGCAGAGAACTGTGGAAAATGACTCTACTTTCAGACTTCAGAAAGGTTTCAAACAGATTTATTCATTTATTTAGTCATTCATTAAATAGTCATTACTACTTAGGTAACTAGTACTGTGTTGGATAGGCAAGGAACTTAAATATGACTAAGATCAAATCCTAGGCCTCAATCAATTTACAGTTCAGTATAGAAGCCAAGTAGAAATACTATTATTATGTTACTAACTTGCAAGAGCTAGGGAATTCCAAACACTTGCTGGGCACTCAATCTGTGTCATGTAGTACATTGTAAAGCTTTGGGTGCATTAATTCTTTTTGTCTTCACAGGAATTATGTGAGGTTGGTACAAGTTTATTTCCAGTTTTTAGCTGAGTAAATGAAAGTACAGAGAGGATAAGTAGTTTTCTGAAGATCTCACAGCTGCACAGGAACAGAGGGAGAGTTCCCACCCCCATTACCTGTTGTCGGGGTTTGTCTCCTAACATCTATTGCTGTCTTGGTGAATACTGATTCATGTATATTTCCCTGGGATTCAGTAAGTCTGAGGTTTTGGAAACAGGGTCTCAAAGATGGAGAACAGGGGTCCTGGTTTTGAAAGTTAAACAGTCAGTAGCTGGACAAGATACACGAGGAACTGTGAGTATGACTCAAGTCAGAAGAGCAGGTATGTATTGACAAGTAACTGACAATACTGGCTGTAAGAATAACATCACCGACTCGCATAACACAATGGACATCACTGTTTACACAACTGGCCTTTCCGAACTATTTCTTGGGAAAAAATAGTGGAGAAGGCCATTGTTAATAACCTTTAGAAACAGGTGGGTATAGTGTAAGAGATGGTGCCTTGGTGATATTTTTTGGCTTTCTTAGTCAAGGCTGTTGATTGATGGAGAGGGATGGAGAAAACATGAGGTTACAAAGTTTGTCTGAATGATCAGACTGAGGCAAGTACTTAGGACCATGCCAAGAACTCTCTCTCTCTCTCTATGTTGGGAGGGTTGTTGTCATGCAGGTAACAGGGATCTAAGGAGGATCTGAAGACATGAGAATTAACATGAGTGGGAGTGAAGTTTTAGCAATTGGTGTAACGCCTCTGTTCTCTCTCTTTACTGAGTCAATGATCAAGGGGTCCCAGCATCTGATAGCTAAAAGCAAGTATAGGGTCCTTTCTGAGAAAAAACTTACACTATCCAAAGGACACAAAATTCACTAACTTTGCTTGGAGGAAGATTTGGGATCAGTAGAAGAATGTTTCTGTCTGATGCAGTAATGGATAAAATGTTGGGGAAGTAGAGTGAAGAAATAACTTCCTAAGACTGACTAAGGGTTTTGTTTATAAAATAAACTTTTTAATGCATGTTTTTTTTTAAACATGCACCCCAGTCCCATTCATCTCCCCAACTCTTCATTTCCACCCTTTGCCTCTGCAGCCTCCCCCAAATAAAACACACAAGCAAACAACAAAAATCAAAACATAGAAAACATCTCGATGTGGAAGCTGTAGTATGTCACAGTGTGTCCCACAGTATATCTCTCTGTCCACACATCTTCACTTTCAAATGTTTACTGCAATGAGTCATTGGTCTGGTTCTAGATATCTGGCTTCTGTGACGCCATCAATATTGGATCCTCACTGGGCTTTCTCCTGGTTATCCTGTTGTTGCCCTGTATCACAGAGACCCTGCAGCTTTGGAACAACAGGAATTGCCCTTTCACATGTCCCAAACATTAGCAGATGATATTGATATAGATTTTGGGATGGATCAGTTCAGAGCCTTGGATCTGGGCCTGGGTGGTCAGCTACAAGCTCTTCCTTACCTTCATCACCAGGACAAACTCTACAGTACTGCTCTGACTAGGCCAATCAATGCCAACCAATGGCACCAACAGCAGAAGGCAGGGACAGCTCTCCTGTTCTCACACCATTAGAGCTGGCTCACCTGTGCCTTTACCATATAGAGCAACTCCGTTCTATTGCCCAGGCAAGGTGCAGGACCAGCTTTCCTGAGTGCTACAGCCAGACAGGGGCCAGGCATAGCTCCCTCACTCTCATGACCCCAGGGTTAGCCCTCTCAGGTACTTCAGGTGGGAAGGGGAGGAGGGAAAGCACATCACCGTGCACCTATGCTACCTCACAGCAGGGAGTTATGCACAGTCCCTGGACATCCAAGGAAACTGCCCCAACGAGGGACATCCCATGTTCTCTAGTGGTAATATGAGCCACAGACATCAAAATGGACCCCTGCTGCTGCATAACCATGGACTCAGATATGACCCTTAGTGTCAGTTCGAGCTGGGACGTCACCCTGGCCCCAAATGGCAGAGTTGGCCACTCATAACAGGTTACTTCTCTCTACCCTGGAGTCTCCAGTTTCATCTCTTTCATAATGCTTAAGCTGTTCCACTTCTTTCTCTCCCATCTTACCATCACATACTCACACATTGTGGCGGCTCCCTCTGTAGGCCGCCACCAAGGCTGGTGGGTCCCCGGGCTCCATCCTTCATCTGTGCTGCATGGTGTGGCTGCAAATGGGTGTCTATGGTCCGCCTGTGCCATGCTCTGGAGGGCAGGTGTGTAGGTAGGCCCGAGGTCTCCAAGTCTCTGTCTGTCTTCCTCCTGTGCTGTGCTATCTGGATTTGATTTCTATGAGTCCTAGGCATGAGACAGCTTTGGCTACCAAGTCAGGCAATAAGCTAAAATGAACAAAGGACTTCCATCTGTTTCTCCCCTGACTGATACAAGAACACCACCACCAACAAGGTGTCTCTTTGCTCATTGCCAGGGGGAAGATTAGGGGTTTTTATTAGAGATCTTGATGAATTGTGGGCTCTTAGATGTTTACTGATGTGAGGGGAGCTGTGTTCTGCCTTTTGTAAGTCATTGGTTTCTTGTTCCTGGTAATATTCTCTATTCAACCAAGTTTCACTTTTCAGGGATGTTGTTATATATTTTGTGAGCTTGGAAAGGTCTAGTGGTCTCTGAGCCTCAGTTCTTACATCTGTAAGATGAACGGGTTAAAACATGTAGAAAGAATTGTGAAATGTAGGATTACATTCAACTAACTCAAAGCTTGATGGACACTTTAGTAAGCTTCGGAACCCTCAAGCTTAGTGCTCTTAAATGCCAACCAGAGTGCAGAAATGATTTCAATTGCCATTGCTATTCCTGGAATAGATACTCTAAAAAAATCTCTCTCCCTTATGATATTATTAAATTTGGGGAAGAGATGATATATAGAAATAGTAGAAGAAAGTTCCAGAAAGATATATTGATACTGGGTATTTTAGGAAGGTCTTGAATGCCAGGTTGAGTGTCAACAACTTTGGTATTTCAAGCAGGGTTACTCTTCCACATTCTCAAAGTAACAACAAATGACAGTATTGTAGCTTCATTTTAATCAGCCAGGGCATAGGAGGCCATGTTCTTATTACAGGGAGATCTATAAGGAATCAGACCTATTAATGGCTCCCATTAAATTCAGGGCATGTGGGGAAAATTGTAGTTTGATTTACTTTAGCAATACGAAGATATTGGCAAGATAATCACATAAAAAAGATGCCTTTTATGGCTGGGCTATTTGATTTTATGTCAGCAGGTATCAAATTCCCACATTTTTATGATGGCATATAGGTTCCCACATCTAATGTATGCATTATCCAGAGTAAAGGTTAAATAGATTGTTTTAGTATTCAAGACTCAAACCAGATAAAATGGATATTATAAAAAAAATTCCCTTGTCCTCAATGCTCTTTTGTCTGCAGTACATCTATGGCTTTTTCCTACATTGTCCTTTCTATAAGGGACAGTACGATTCTAGTAAGCCAGTGGAATGCAAAACAAAGGAAATGGGCCTGTGCCCAGAGTTTAAATCAAGTGGGGTGACCATGGTTAATATATTTTCTCCTGGCATGAGATGCCTCATCTATGAAGCAAAGACTGTGAAACCAACCCCATAATGCTTTTGCCAGAATTAAGGTATGTGATGTATACAGTGCATGTTTGGGGCAAAAAGTAAGTTACTGATTAAAGTCATACCCACTGCCTGTCAGGTGGATGGGGAAACAAAAAGGGAAATCTATTCTCTCGAATTAATTTTTTTATTTAGCAAAGGAAAAAGAAAAAAAAACACCATTGTTTCTTTCTCTGCATATAGTTCTAAAAGCCATGGCGATAGCCTGTCCTGTATCAGGAGATAAGAGCTGGGCCAGGCCATGTGACCTTCTGGGGATAGCTGGAAATGAGATTCTTGGCCACAGGGACAGAGGCATTGCAGTTATTTAATGGACATTGTTTTGGAATTGAAAGGAGTGAGGCACTTAGTTATTCGCTTTCAATATCCCTCCAAGTCTTTGGGTACATTTAAATCCTTAATTCACCTTCCATTTATGCCTCTTCCTTTCCCTGATAAGTTTTCAGGAGACTTTGAAAGAAAGACTAATATTATCCAGGCCAAGTGTAATTGGAAACTCCCTCCCCTGTGATGCTGTTGCGAATGGCTCACTTCAGAAACCTTGGTTTCTATCAGGGGCTGAATCTCCAGTGATTATTTGGTAGGCTCCATGAAGAGAATTCTAGCTGTCTCTTTAAATCTGTTCCTCTGACTATCAGCTTGGCCTTATTTAAATATTCCAGACAATTTCAAGACTTAATAATGATGAATACGATTAAGATTATGGTTTAATAAGAGCATTAAGAAAAGAGTTTTCATTCCAGATGGAGGTGGGCTGCTGTGAAAATTGAATTGGCACCAGGCCTCCCAGGCCTTGCTGACCACAGTTGTTCCTCTTCTCCCCCAGCATGTCAGCCCTCTTCAGACAGTGTCCTAGGATGGAACTCAGCCTCTGTTCACATCCACCATCTACAAGTCCCTCATTTTGCAGGCTGCACTTTTCTCAACTCACTCTCCCACTGGTTGATAGAGCATAAGACCATTTCCACTCCCTGCATCAAAACCTTACTCACAGGAAAGGGAAACATAGGAACCAAAGCTCTTCCCAAAGCAGAATCACTCCATGCTATAATGATTCAACACTGAATAAGCAGCACCACTGGATTTCTGTCACAACAAACTCAAACTTGAACTTGGAGATTGTGTAAGTGTACTTGAACCTGACCATATAACAGAAATGAAAATAAATGAAGAGGCACACCTTGTATTCAAGACATGAGGTTGAAGACCAGACACTTTACCATGAGCAGCTTGTCTGCAGTTTCTTCCACATTGCTTAGTGGTCCACAAAGTCTCAGCTATTTAGATTTCTTCTCAAAGCTAGAAAGCAGCAATTGGCAATTTCTAATCATAGCATGGCTGTGTGAAACTATAGTTACAGACTCTGAAATTTAAATTTCATGTGTCACAAAATATTATTCTCTTCATTTTTCCAACTGTTCAACCACCAAAAACTTTTCTTGGTTGACCTCATTTGGGCCATTCAGGCTATAGTTTCTGGATCCATAGTCTAAATCCTTCTAACACAGCCTATTAATGTCCTGGAATTTGGATAGCCATATTGGAAATTCTCCATTCATAAGGTTTGACGATTGATTGGGACTAGGATACACACAAACCTTGGATGCTAGGGGAGGGAAGATGCCTCAGTCTGTAGGAGCTTGCAGCATAAGCCTGAGGATCCAAGTTCAAGCCTAAGCATGCAGGTTAAAAAGGCAGATGTGGTAGGTCATTTGTAATCCCTGCACTGGAAAATCATACAGACCCTCAGGTTTATTCACTAATCATTTTTGCTTGATTTCTGACCTCCAGGTCCCACTGAGAGACTGTCTTAGAAAATAAGCTGGATGGCTGCTAAGGAAGAGTGTGCAAGATTGATCTTTTGCTTCCATATGCATGTGCTTACCTGAGCACATGCTTGCATGCATGATACATATTCATCTACAAACATATACCTATCTACACACACACATACACACACACACACACACACACACACACACACATTCACTCAAAAACAACTTGAATTCTATCTTTAGCCAATTTGCTGTTTGAATTTTGATTTCTCATACTTAAGAGCAGTCTGACCATTTGAACTACTCTTGATCCACTAAGCATTCTTTATAAATGAAACTGGACACTTCTGCTTATCTCTCTCTTTGTTCTCTCTACATTTGGAACCTTTAGCCTACTACTTTCAAAACACTGTCTTCCTCATGGCTCCTCCTTTTACCTAATCAATGACTCTCCTTTGTGTTGTAGGTTGTTTCCAAGTCCTTATGCTTTCTTTCAGGAATCCCCATATTCATAAGTACCTGCCTACTCAGCTAACTGCCACTTATCCTGAGCATAAGTCTTCCTTTGCTCTCTGGATACCCTTCCCTATACTTTTCCTGGACTCTTTTCCCCTCTGTACCTTTTTTACATGCATATCGTCCTGTCTGAAACATGTTCTTCTTACCTGTCCATCAAATCTTACTCCTGATAAACCTTCCCAAGTAATGTTCCCCTGCTTCAGTGTCCCTGGCATGTTATCTTTCTTTGCATGTGTTGGTGATTTTGCCTTGTGAGCATATTGTTTGCTCTCTTTCACCCACTGTTTGCTTACTGGGCATCACTCTGCTGAGCACTGTGGGAAAATGTAGCTCTTTGGACAAAATCAGATATGCACCGGATCCTGAAATTGACCAATATTTGAATATTTGCTTTAAGAACAGCTTCAAAGCAAAAAAATCTGGGCCCAGGAGTTCCTGCAAGAGACTGATGCACCAACTAAGGACCAGTCACAAAGAAGACCTAGAGCTTGCTCAGATGTAGCCCATAGGCAGCTCCATGTGGGTGCCCTAGTAAGGGAGACAGAGACTGCCTCTTTTATGAACTTGGTTGCCTGTTCTTTGATCACTTCCCCCTGGTGATGCAATCTTGCTAGGCCATAAAGGAAGAGGATACAGGCAGTCCTGATGAAACATGATAAGCTAGGGTCATATGACAGGGGAGAACTCCTCCTTTCAGTGAACTAGGGGAAGAAGATAAAGGGGAAGAGGGAGGGTGGGACTGGAAGGAGTTGAAGGAGGGACTACAATGGGAATATAAAATGGATAAACTGTAAAAAATAAAAAAATATTAAAAGAATAGCTTTATTGTACTAGCAGAGAGATCAGTGGTCCTGCTTTATTGTATATTGACATACTTTCTCTTTTCTTACTCATGTTTCTAAGGAAAGCTTGGTATATAGAAAACATCAACAAACATACTGGAATATACACAGCGTATATGTTTTCTCATTGGGCTTAGGGAAAGCCTCATGATCTTCTCTGCTCTTACCTTTTAGTCTCCTCATCTCCCTTCATTTCAGCAAACCTGTATTTCTCATTCCATCCACTCACAATAGTCACCATTAACTTGAGAACTACACAGTCTGTTTCCTGGCTCTACCTTCTTTCTCTGTGTAGTTTTCAATTTGAAATTCCCATCCTTGGGCTCATGTGTGGAATACTTGGTTCCCAGCAGGTGACGTTATCCTGGGAAGTTCGGGAAACTTCAGAAGGCAAAGCCTAGCTGGAGGAGGTAGGTCACTAGGTCATATTCCTTTGGTTCTTCCTTGTTTAACCTGGCACCCAAACTCTCTCTTGCTCTCTTTTCTTTTTTTTTTGTATATTATTATTATTATTATTATTATTATTATTATTATTATTTACATTTTATTAACTCTGTGTCCCAGCTGTATCCACTCCCTTATTCCCTCCCAATCCCACCCTCCCTCCCTCATCTCCTCTCTGCCCCTTTCCAAGTCCACGGGTTGGGGAGGACCTCCTCCCCTTTTGTCTGGCCCTGTTTT